ATATTTCATGCTGCTGCACCTCTTGAAATATGCTGAAGTTGCCTTGGGACCAATGGGACTTCATAATGTGTCATTACTCTCAGAGAGATTAAGAACATTGTACTTTTAAGTATTTTTTTTTCCCATAGATTCAGGAGGAAAATATTTCTTCCCACGCAATCTACTTGAAATGGTCAAATTGCTCTCAGCAAGAAACTGCAGCCATATTTTCAACAGAATGCTTAGAAATCAAATGTGGTAATTCCTGTGGGTTTCTGGAGGTTGCAAAGAGCAGAGAAAATTGAGTCATCTTTTCTGTGGCATCCAGTAGAAGTGTGAATTCAGAATAAATGAACCCCGCTGGACAATCCAGTTATTGAGCTTTCAGTGGGAGTAGATCAATATTGGGATTCATCAGTTAGACAGATTGGATACTCAATTTACAACCGCAGCCGAGCCCAACATTTCTGTTGCTAAGTGACACAGTTGTTAAGTGAACCATTGCAGTTGTTAAGTTAGTAACAGAGCTGTTAAGTGAATTGGCTTTCCCATTGATTTTGTTTGTCAGAACAAACAAAACACTGGGACACTGCAACCGTCATAAATATGAGTCAGTTGCCAAGCGTCTGAATTTTGATCATGTGACCATGGGGATGCTGCAATGGTAGTAAGCAGGGGTGGGTTCTACTTACCTTTACTACCAGTTTGCAATGGGGCCGCATGCTCTTCTGCGCATGCGCAGAAGCATTCTAATGACGTCAGGGTCACTGGGTGGAACCTCCCGCTAGTTTTACTACCGGTTCTATAGAACTGGTGCGAACCGGGGGCAACCCACCACTGGTTGTAAGTGTGAAAAATGGTCATAAATCACATTTTTCAGTGCCACTGTAACTTTAAACGATCACTAATGAACTGTTGTAACTCGAGGACTACCTGTACTTTTTAGAGTAATGTCAAGGTTTAGCTTTTGCTGAATACAGGTAGAAAATAATTCAAATCTTCCTCTCAGGACTATCATAAGGAGGTCAAAAAAATCAAGATAGAAGCCCTGTCCTTTTTTATGTACATCATGACCATCTAGGAAAAGGGGTGGAGCAACCACCCCATGTATGATGTCTTCACTACCGTATATTTCGGAGTATAAGACACACTTTTTTCTGTCCTAAAAGAGGCTGAAAATTTGGGTGCGTTTTATACTCCAAATGTAACCCCACCCACCCACCAGTCCCCACCCTTTGGCCTCCGTGCATCCTTTTCCTGGCTGCAGAGATTGTCACCGACAATGGCTTGTGTCTTTGGGCTCCATGCGTCGCATTTTCAACCTCCAAACACTCCGTTTGAGAGCCCTTTAAGGCTGCGGGGATCGCCAAAGCACATTGTTGCTGATCACCACCTGAAAACGTGACATGTTTGAGGCCGAAAACGCAATGCGCGGTACCCAAAATGACTACCCGAAACAGCTTCCGCCTTCTCTTACACTTCCGCGCTTTGCCTGCTTCACTGGAGCTCCCTCCGATGATCAGCTGTGCTTCAGAAGCTGTTTTTTGGCTCCAACCAGCCCCAGCCTCAAAACCACCGAGCGAACTAATGTGCTGAAGCTGACAAGGCTAAGGATTAGCCAGATGAATACCTAGTAGCCAGATTTTTTTCCCCCTATTTTCCTCCCCAAAAACTAAGGTGCGTCTTATACTCCCAAAAATATGGTATATTGAAACACACTTTGCAGACAGCTGAACTTCATCTCATGCTGTACTATGTTGGCCTGACAGAGGGGGAATGGGGAGATGTTTATCCCAGCATTTTTGTTTCTTTGTTTGTTAAATTGCCTGCATTGGATAGAGAAATGGTTTTAAAAAGTTCAATCTCTGTTCTAAATTTCCCCCACTTGGGAAACATGGCAGAGGGCGGAGGAGAAGTAATTCTCAGCTTCTTCTAGCGTGCATCTTATTCCTTCTTCCCAATACCAAATTCCAGTGTCAGAGATCAAAAATAGATTCAAAGATTGTCAGAGAAGATTTTCCAATATCAGACTTTCTGTAGGAGATCAAAGTTAATTTTCTAAACCTATAGTGCAAGGGTCCCCAAACCCTGGGCTGTAGCCTTCTACCAGTACTTGGGCTGTTCAGAACCAGCCTGTGGAAGTGGCAAGTGAGCGTGTGCAAATCCCCATGTGAGAAGTGAGTAAACATGTGCTCCATTTGCATGGAGCGGCAGGCGCAGGTGCCAGCTCCCTGTGCAAATGGATCTGCGTGTGTGCCAGCTTGCCCACCAATTGCGTGGAACCATCCCTTCTCCCTCCATCGCCAGTCCGCAAACTCAGAAAGATTGAGGAACTCTGCTATAGCGGAAAACTCAGCTTCAGATTAAAGCTTTCAAATTTATGAATAAGAGTGGCAGTGAATTTCAGTTAGCTGTATGTTTTCAGGGTTTGAATCTCTGTTTCCTTTCTTGGCCTATTTAGATACGTTGCCATCCTTACAAGAATGCAGGGTCCTTGATGGTCTCTGGGCTTGGTTGCTTTGTTGCAGATATTTCATTACCCAAACTAGGTAACATCTTCAACATGATAATGTTACTAGTTGGGGTAAGGAAACAACCATTTCCAGAGAGCACCAAAGACCCCTCATTTCAACCCTGAACTACAAAAAGTCTCCTTTATTGGTTACAAGAATGCTTCATTTAAAAAAAATAAATCGCCCCTGTATAGTTCAGTGTCTGGCACCTAATAAGATGTCATTTATCTGTCAAGCTTTTTTATTTTTTGCAGTCTAGTAGAAAACACATCTATTCTGGAGTAGAAAAATAGTAGAAACCATATATTCAGGAGTGATCTCTTCTACAAGGGGGACTACAGAGAAGGCTTGATAGTGGGGTTCCTAGAGATGGCGCGCGGTCAATAAAAGGCCTTCAACAGCGAAATTGGTTCAAAATACCAGAATATTTTTTCTTGTTTTTTTTCCACCTTCCCTATTGAGAAAGGATACAGTCAGTGGTGAAATTCAGCCAATTCTATCCAGATCGCGTAATGTGGTAGCGCCAATGGCGGAAGGTTCCACCCACATCATCACGTCCCATTTTTGACCCTCCGCACATGCGCAGAAGGCTCTGTGCATGTGGAGGAGGCACGCGCGCTCACATTTGCGAACCGGTAGTGAAGGTAAGCGAATACCCTGGATATAGTGGTCTGTAAATAAGGGAAAGTAGGCATAGGAAGTGTTCAGTATATACTTCTCATGTGACTTTTTTTTTTTTTTAGAACTCCTTGCTTAATTTTAGTTTTGTACAACTACAAAAATTTGTAGTTTTTTCTGAGCATGACAGTTTAGTTCAGATTAGCAGTTGCCTGCTTACCAAAACAAGAATATATTAATTGCTCACTATGTGTCAGTACAAAGGGGTATAATTCTATGCAAAAGAAGCAAAGAGACTATTAGTGATTTAGTGGGGCTAAAGCTGTTTCAAGTAGCCACAATGGATCAGGTGACAAAAATGCACATTTTTGGGGTTCTTTACCTTTTTTACATGATTTTAGGTAAAGCAGTTATTTATTTTACACTATTTTAGGGCATATACTACATTTTTGAAGGGATGTGGGTTTGTATAGAAACAAAAGGCTATAGGTATAGAATCTTGACATTTATAGATAAGGAAGACATTCTACCTTAACATATTCTTTTGTCAGAAATCCACTCAGAATTTTTTTCTCATGTAAGATACATATATCTGAAACAAATCAGAAAAAAATATTTGAAATGCAAATTATTTAAAATACATTGTATTTCTACACAGTCTCACAAATACATCTCTTAGAGAGTCTCAAAGCTTCTAATAATTTCAGGAGATGCTTCTGGTTGTTTTTTGACCACTGAGCCTCCTCTATTCTTGAACAAGATCTTAGTTCTCTGGGTAAGGACTTGGCACAACACTGTTTTCTACTGACTGTTGACAGTAAATTTGGAACTGACAGAAAAGTGTTATGCACGTGGAATTTTGTCACAGAATTTATTAAAACATATGTGGTTCTTGCAGCTTAAAATTGACATATTTTCTTTTTCATAGTCATTGCTTTAAATTTCAAAAGGATAGATTAAAACATTCATCTTTTATACGTTGCAATACAGTACTGTATGCATTATCCTAGGAATAAGCTACATTTAACCCAATGGAACCTACTTCTGAGTTAACATATTACTTTTGATAAAACTCTAGGTGTAACAGTTGTGTTGTTGTATTTTATTACTAAATACTACCTATTTGATTCTTAAATTAGTTTTATAACAAATAGAGTAAACTTTTGTATTTTATATGACTTCTAGGATTATTGTGGGGAGGAAGGGGTTAAGCAGTCCAGTTTAGAATAGGTTCTTTAACTCAAAACTATTAGTGGGTGCCATAACTTTATAAAAAAAACAAACTATATATCTGTTAAAAAAAAAAAGATTATTCATAGCAAATGCCATAAAGAAATAATGCTGTTTGAGTTATGAAGAATGATCATTAAATATAGACAGTCCTCCACTTATGACTACAAATGAACCCAAAATTTCTGTTGTTAAGCAACAGTTATTCAGTAAGTTTTGCCCCATTTTACGAATTTTCTTGGCACAGTTGTTAAGTGAATCTCTACCATTGTTAAATTAGTAACATGGTTGTTAAGTGAATCTGGCTTCCCCCCCCCCCTTGACTTTGATTGTCAGAAGGTCACAAAAGGTGATCACTTGACTCTGGGACATGGCAACCGTCATAAATATGAGCCAGTGGCCAGGCGTCTGAATTTTGATCTTGTGACCACGGGGATGCTACAATGGCCGTAAGTGTGGGAAATGGTCATAAGTCACTTTTTTCCGTGCCTTTGTAACTTTGAACGGTCGCTAAACGAATGGTCAACGACTACCTGTACTTGTCAGAGTATAACATTTAACTTTATCAGCAAGATAAAACTATATGGATCATCACTTTATTTATTTATTTATTTATTTATTTATTTATTTATTTATTTATTTATTTATGTTTTTATATAGACCTCAACTGCTACGGTGAATGTGGTTGTAACAGATGTAAACGATAATGGGCCAGTCTTTGATCCCTTTCTTCCAAAAAATTTTACAGTACAAGAAGAAGAAACCAATGCATTTGTGGGTCAAGTGAGGGTAAGAAACTCATAGTATTGTACTATTGATGGTACTAATTGCTTGAAATATTTTCGGTTGTTAAATGGGTAGGATCATTGTCTCGTTTTATTTTACTTTATTTTCTCCGAATCTCAAAGTAAACGCACAAATAGATCCCATTCATCTCGGCCTCCCCAACTGCCTTCCAACAAAACTGGACGACAAAAACTATTGGAAAAGAAGGCTTAGTAGAGAAGTCCTTTGAGTAAACTATATGTATAGTTTATGTTAGCTAGCATTCAGCTGTTAACTTTGCCTTTTGCTGCTGTTGGGAGAAATCATTCCACGTCTCTTTGTAAACAGTTTTCAGTATGCATGGTTGATCGTGGTGATATTATAAGATAGTGGCTGACTTTCTACTCTGTACAAATGTATTGCTCTTCGTTGATCAAGATTTTGTAGAGGCGCCCCACCAATCATAGCTGAATAATGTTGTTCTCTTCCACCTTAAAATTCCACGCAGAGGCACCATATCTGGTGAAGGGTGGAAAAGGTAAATGTAAGGGTGAATGCAAATTTTGTAAAGAGATTAGCTGCACACCTTGCAGCTTGTTTTGTTTTCTCTGCCCTGCCAACCCCAGGATTTGCAAGTGAAATTAACATGCAATTACCAGTAGTTTACATTCTATTTCATGTCACTTTTCTGTTGCTGTACTTCAAATTATTGGCACATTCCTCTTTCCACTACTCAGTGCTAAGTAAATGGAGAAAGAAGTGTTGTTGTTATTTGTGTATTGCTTTTCTTGAGCCATAAAATGTTCTTTTCTTTTGTGAAAAGAAGAAGTCGAGAGGAGGCTGTAGCTTGTCTCTTCATCTTCTTTTACTGCTTCGTTTTATTGCAAGAATTGAACTGGGTTGATATAAGCAGTTGGATGATTGACTGGCTGATTGAGTGATTGACTGATTGATTACATGAAGTGGAGGTTCCAAAGGCCAATTTAAGCTTTTTCTCCCTTCTGGGAAAACAGGTCAAGGTAACCCAACCCAATTTGATCAAGAAAAGGGACACTAAAAACCATGACTCCACCAAACAGGCCAAATAATTGAGGCAGACAAGCATGATGGGACAACAAGATGGGCCTAACTGACATGGTTAAGTGGCAACCAACCGGCATGTTTTTGGTAGGCAGCCAGATGAAAGTTCAGGACGGTATTACCGTAAGCAGCTCACTGAAGCTATCACAAATAGGAAAAACATGATACAAGGGGTCTCCCCTCACCCATCATCTGCATTTAATGTCCCTGCATTTCTTTTCTTGGTATGTCTCACGAGAGAAGAATCGTAAATGGAACTGAAGAAGCGCAAAACCAAGTTTCATGAAGCAATAATTAAAAAAGGAGCATTTAAGGGAACACGTTCTCTGAATTAGGTTAAATTGGATTAATACTGAAGCTGATAATCTCTTGACTTTCCAAGGGACACCGTTATGTTACTTTAGAGTGGCAATCAACATTTTTAATCCATTTTTTGTTCTTTCTATACACTGACAACCTATCATCTCAAACAGCTTTGAGATGCCTCCCATTTCTCTGCTTATATAATGGAACAGAATTTGTCAGCTTTCCAACATATTCAATATTGTTTTAACCTTTAAATGCTTTGAAGTGCTGCAGTCGGGTTTGTAATAAACATTTGTTTTGTTTTCATTTTGTATTTAAAGGATAAATTAAATTTCAGCAGAAATTTCTTTAGCAGACAATTTTCTTGAGTCACATAGTGTAGATGTACATATATTGAGCCATACTTTATTGCATTTAAGCAGCATTATGCAGAGTACACACAAAAAAAATAGCAAGCCAGAGAATATGAAAGAATGAGATAGGAAGAACAATAGCTAAAACTATTTACACCAAGCCTTTCGCACAATTATTCCTTGCCCTTTTATTCTTGCAAAACACCCTGACTTCCATCACATCCAAATACCAATTTATGCATTGCTTTTTTTTTCTTTAATTTTCTTGCTTCTTCTTTTCTGTGGATCTGATTCATTCCCTTCTGTTTATTTATTTATTTATTTATTGGTTCAATTTATATGCCACCCTTCTCCGGAGACTCAGGGCGGCTTACAATGAGTTAAGCAATAGCCTTCATACTTTTTTGTATATACCTGCTTAGTAGGGTTCCCCCCCCCCAAGCAGTGTTCTTTTTTATACAAAGTCAGCTTATTGCCCCCACAATCTGGGTCCTCATTTTACCTACCTCGAAAGGATGGAAGGCTGAGTAAACCTTGAGGCTGGTGAGATTTGAACTTGCAGTAATTGCAGGCAGCTAAATGGCCAAAATATCTAAACATACTTTTTTTTTCATTCTGGATATCGCTATTGTATCCAGTCAAGTGTTGTTCAACGTTTGTTCATTCTTCATCTTCTTTTATTACATGCAAACATGTTTCTTTTTAATCTGTTCCAGTTGCATTCAAGTGATTTGCGATTTAGGTTGACATATCCAACTCTCTCTTTTCTGTAATAAAGCTTTTAAAAAAAATCCTTGTACATGCTATTTTCGCTCCTTTTGGCATTCATTCCTCAAAATATTGTAATGGGTATTATCTTCTCCCTTTCTATGAACATTTTCACATCTTAAAATTTCTCCATCCATTCTCCCTTCTTTAATAAACAAGGCAGAAAAATTAATCTACTTACTCTAGGTTTTTTTTAAATTTATGTACACTTGCACTCATTCAGTGTGTTTTCCCTTTCATTTCCCTTAGTTTTTATTATATTAATTTTCAGATCCATACCACTCACGAGACCATATAATCTATGTAACATTTGCTACAAATCATTTGATTCTCAGCCAAGAAACATGGCATCATCTGTTTATAAAAAATATCCATATATTCACATCCCCAGCCAACACATCTAACACATCAGCACAAATATATACGTCCCCAGCCAACACATCTAACACACCAGCATGAGCATTCATTATACATTTACCCATAAATATATTAAACAACCAAAGGAACATCACACATCCTTTTCTCATTCCCTATTCTATAAGCATTCCATTTATTCTCACTTCCACATTAGAACATAGAATATAGAATAACAAGAGTTGGAAGGGACCTTGAAAGTCAGCTAGTCCAATCCCTGCTTGATCAGGAGACTGAATCATTTCAAACAAATTTTTGTCCAATCTCTTCTTAAAAGCCTCCAGTGTTGAAGCACCCATAATTTCTGAAAGTAAACCATTCCACTAATTAATTGTTCTCATTGTTAGGAAGTTTCTCCTTAGTTCTGACTTGCTTTTCTCTCTGATTACTTTCCATTCATTTTTTTTCTTGTCTTGCCTTCAGATGCTTTGGAAAATAGTTTGTCCTTCTTTTCTTTGTGGTAGTCCTTAGATATTAGAACACGGCTATCATGTCTCTCCTAGTCCTCTTTTTTTTTTTTCCACGAGACTCGACATAACAAATTCCTGTAACTGTTCTTCATATATTTTAGCCTCCCGCACCCTAATCATCTTTGTTGCTCTTCTCTGCACTATTTCCAGAATCTCAACATCTTTTTTATAATTGTAGTGACCAAAACTGGATGCAGTATTCCAAGTGTGGTCATACTAAGGCTTTGTAAAGCAGTATTACTAATAATAATCTTATCACATTCAAAAGTGTACCATGCAAAAGTTCATTATTAAAACTATTCACTTTACCATACACTTTCTCTAAATCAACCATCATGCGATAAACTCTTTGATTCAGTGACTTGCTGAAAAGCAAAAATGTGGTAGTTTGGCATCATACTTTGAATTTTTTATCCAGATATTGCATTGTTGTAGTCCTTCTGGGACTTTACTTCACCTTAAAATGACTTAATGAAGAACTAAAATTGTCTTTATTGGCCTTATCTGAAATCTCCCAATATTCAAATACCCTGTTTCTTCAAACGAAGTTTCATATGCTAATGTTTTCCTATCCCCTTCTCAGGGTAGGATTTTTGTTTATATGACAATTCAGTCCATGGCTACTTAATTGGTCTTCAGTTGCCATGGTTTAGGAGACACTAATCACAGTTAAATTGTTTTATTTAACAGCAACCAATAATAAAATCCCTCTAATAGGAAATAGAAACTGACTAATAAAAAATCAATTAAAGGCTAATTCAGCATTCATGTCACGCTTGCAATGAAGACAACTGGCAAGGAAGAAACGTTTAATTAAAGATGCAGTTGTCCTTAAAAGCCTCCGTGGAGTCTCAGGAAAATGTTTTATTGTCAAACCGAAAGCCCTGCCACAAATCTGAGTTACAAAACAACAAATGATAACACCATGAACACCAGACTGCAATATGGATTTCTGGATGAAGTTATGAGAGAGAGGGAGAGAGAAGCTAGTTTTGTAATGATGCTAGTATATACAATTCAAAATCAAGTTGACTCTTCAGCAATATCTCTAGCCTTATTTCAGCATTGGAATGTTTATTCAAAAGAATTATTCCTCCCAGAAGTGCTTGTATTTGGGTAGGTGTGCTTTTGCAAAATGCTGAATGTATCCTTCCGTTTAAAATAGGGGAACCCTTATTCTACTTCACTTTTTTTTTTTCAGTCAAAACAAAAGAATATTCACTTATTTCCATTTAGAAATGCCAAACTCCATCAATATAGTTTGTATATACTAAGAGCTGGTGAAAAAAAAATAATAATGCTAATAACTAGTGAGATGAAAGAATTTACAGCTGAATGCTTGTAATCATTGACATCCTTTGAATGCAAAACAAATAAAAAGGGCTAAAACTGGAAAGGACAAATCTCAAAGTGAATGTATTTCAGACTTTTTAAAAAAATAAAATAAACACCTAATGGTTATTGGTGTTATAAGAAATTCCTCATTTAATTTTATCATTAGGATCACCCTCATGCCTTGTTTGTCAGACCTGGAAGCCATCTTTCTACCTTTGTGCCTTCAGGCTTCAGGCCTGCCACAAATTCTACTGTGGGAAAATGGGAGGTGGGATTGTACAGAGTGAAGAGGATATGT